ACCGTAGTTGTGCTGACCACCAGGTTCGCGCTCATCAACCTCTTGTCTACCGATCTGCGCATTTAGGTCTCCGGCGAGTATCCCGATGTCCATGCGGCGTTTTTTGCGAAGGTCGGTGAGTTGGCGGTAGAACTCGTTTTTAGCTTCGTCCGGGCTGCAGTCCGTAGGAGTGTACGCCGCCACAATGTATAGGCAGCGCCTACTGGTCTCGTGGCTGGAAGATCGCACGGAGCTTTACAAGCGGACTGCACAAAGACGGCTGTTGACAGGAAACAGTTAATGGGCGCTGCGTCAGCACGTGCGCTTAACGCAACTACTACGCCGGCGCAACCAGAGGCTGCCGCTGTCGCATCTCCAGATAAGCGCAAGGTGAATGTGCACTTGAAACTTGGGGATGGTGAGTGCAATTGCAGCTTTGTGCTGGAGTCTTGTAAACGGGTTTCGGATAGGCAGCAAAAGTCGATGAAGAGGATTTCTAAGGTTCGTGCAAAAGCAGCTTGTGAACCAATCTGCATAAGCGTTCTAACATTAAAGGTAGCTGGCTTGAAGAGCGATCAGGGTGCAATAAAAGCCTTGCTGTTGATACTGAATGTGTGCGATCTGTTTGAAGCGGTTCATTGATGATGCCAAAGGTACAGCTTTTATTTACAACGCACTTTCGGAAACTCCAAATTGAAGGCGGTTGCCAAGAACCGGAAGGTTGAATAAACGTGGGTTGCGGTGCGGTAGAGTGAGGTTTAGCACGCCCGGCCGCCAGTCTAAGAGAGAGAGAGAGAGTTCAGAGGGCGAAAAACGTGAGAAGACTCCTAAATCCATCACCCGTCCGAAAGTAGAGTTAGAGCGATTAACAAAGGATGGAATAATTTCACCCGTACGCCACTTTTTTGGGCTGCACCCATCGTTGCTGTACAGAAGCCTGATGGCTCAGTTCGTAATTGTGGCGACTATAAACTGACGGTTAATCAAGCGACGACGACGCAACATTGTCCGATTCCACGGATGAATGACCTTTACATAACTTTGTTGGGTGGACGAAGATTTTCGAAGCTCGATATAAGCCATGCTTATTCTCAAGTGTAGCTACAGGAATTCTCGAAATTACCACCATCAATGCACACAAGGGATCGTTCTGCTGTAACCGATTACCATTCAGGATACACTCCGCACCGGCGATCTTTCACAGAATTATAGCCAACTTAATGAAAAGTATACCCGGAGTTTGCGCTCATTTGAACGACATTTTGGTTGCTAGTCGTACTGACTACGAGCACATGACAGCATTTGCAACAGTCTTAAAACGTTTTCAGGACAGCGGACTGAAACTCCAGGAATCTAAATATGACTTCTTTTGTGATACCGTTTAGTACTTGGGATTTTGTTTGGACAAACAGGGGTTACATCCCCTACGGGAAAAAATTGAACCTATTTTGGATTCTCCAATACCCAGAAATATTAACGAACTACAAACATTTCTTGGGTTGGTAACCTGGTACAATCGTTTCTTACCCAATTTGGCTAGTCTTCTCTCACCATTGCACACATTACTTCGTAAGAATACCAGGTGACTGTGGTCCATTGAACAACAAAAAGCTTACGATGCTTTCAGATTGGCTATCAGTAACGCCGACTTTTTAGTGCATTTTGACCCAAAGAAACCGATCACTCTTCGTTGCGACGTGTCACTCTCAAGGCTCGGGGCCGCACTATTCAGATCAAATGGAAGAGACGACCGAGCGACCAATAGATTCTGCGTCCAGAAGTTTGGTACCATCAGGACAGTACTATGCGTAGCTCGACAGAAAAACTTTAGCGGTTATTTGGAGACAAAAAATTCCACCAGTATCTGTGTGGAATAAAATTTCAAATCTTTACTGACCACAAGCCTTAGTAAACCTTAGTTGGTGCGAAAAAGACGTATAAACCGGATAGCCTCACCTCGTATGCAACGTTGGGCTTTATTGCTCTCCACTTACAATTATAAGATCGCCTATGTCCCTGCGAAAGCAAATCGAATCGCGGACGCTCCGGGCCTCTAACTGTTGAATTACCTACCCGATTATGGTTAAGCCTGTGAAGCTTGTCCATCTGCTGCAACATGTGGGTGAAAATTCGGTGTCAAATGCAGATATCCGTCAGGAAACTGAAGGGGATATATGACTGGCCCAAGTCAAGCGTCTAGTCTATCAAGGATGGCCGGACAGCTGTGAACCGCAACTACTACCCTACTTTATCCGACGCACAGAGCTTAGTATCGAGGATGGGTGTTTGCTACGGAGATCTAGGACGATCATGCCATCACGGCGGCAACAGAATGTCTTACAAGAACTTTACGGAACGTACCCAGGAATCACGAGAATGAAGGTACTTGCGCGATCCTATGTGTGCTGGTCTAATGTTGACAGATATCAAAGAGTTGATCCGACACTGCGACGTGTGTCAAAGCACTCAGAGGAGTGCCCCTCCTGTTCCACTTAGTCCTTAGAAATGGCCCAGTAAACCTTGGGAACGCATTCTCGCAGACTTCTTAGCCCGTTGAATGGGAAAATGTTTCCTCTCTTGTTTGATGCTTACTCGAAATGGGTAAAAGTTTTTCCACTTGCACATGCCACTTCTGAGACGACCGTTTCTTGCATGCGGATGTGTTTCAGTTCTTTCGGTATACCACATACGCTGGTAACAGACAACGGTTCCGTATTTACTAGTCAGGAATTTCAAGAGTTCCTCAAAAGCAACGGCATACATCATGTGAAATTAGCTCACTGCCACGCAGCTTCAAACGGGTTGGCAGAAAGCCGTCCAGACGGTCAAGAGCGGTTTACGGAAACAAGCGTCTGCTCTACTGCGAACAAAGTTGGACAAATTTTTTTTGGCTGCCGCACCATGTCAAACGAAACTACTGGGAAGAGCCAAGGCGAGTTGATGTTCGGACGGAGGTTGAGGATACGGCTCGATCTTCTGTTTCCTGACTAGACGCTACGTGTCGAGGCTAAGCATGATAAATCTAAGGCAGAGTACAACCAGAAGGCTTCCGATTGAATATCCTGTGAGAATGAACTGGTCTACGTCAAGTTGCCCAAAGAAACGACCTGGCAGCCTGGAGAGTTGGGTGATGTTACGGGACAACCTCCGGAGATGGCTTTACCTGATGGCAGAGTAGTTAATCGGCACAGGGATCACGTCCGCCATCGTTCCGTTCCAACTCCGCCAGATGACGCGTGCTCAAACCAGCATAGTGAGTTGATAATGGCGCTGAACTCTCAAAACACAGGCCAACCGGAGACTCAGCCATGTTGCCGTTCAGCTCGGCTAAGCCTACCCGTCGATCGACATCAAGCTGGCTGAGTGATCCAAACTAAAGGGAGAAGGAATGTGGCATCCTCACGGCCAATGTACTAAGCCCTTCCTATTCGTTGCTTGCATCTGCTGCCCTGTGTCAGTAACCCGTTCATTGATTGGCCTACTTTAGAAAAGTGGATCAACGCTTTGTACAACATGCCTTCCATATGCCTGAAGTATTTTGCTTTCTGATACTTCGGCTAAGAGCCAGCCACTGAGCGTTAGTTCCGCAGTTGCTAAACTGACATACTGGATGCATGAAAATATGTTTGTTGGCTGTTCAAAGAGTGCAATCGCTGGTTGACTTCAAGATGGATCATCTTCATTGGTATATAGCAAGGTGAAATGTTCTCACTAGCAACTTGACTGCGTTGGGTTAATTTTCTTCGGGCTGTTAGCTAGAGGACGGGAACCGAGGGTTGCTATTGGCGCGCTGCCGTGACGATTCGGAACGGCACTGCACATCTTTTTGTATCTCGTTAATTGTCCATATTCTCCCTGTCCGGTAAGAGCCTAGGATTCGCGAACCTCATTGTTCGGAGCAGCGTGTAAGACTGCACTGGGCCATGAAGGCGGCAAAGGTCGTCGTAGCCTTGTAAGTAGTTTTTTTGTCTAGTCCAGTTCTCATTGGACAGAAAGGTGGTGGTTTTCCACTTCGCATGCACCGTGTATGCTCGAGGGTGAGGGGGTATCTTCGGATGCGCAAGATGTGTCCATAGTTAAGTATATCTCAGCTTACGGTGTTCCGGGGAATGTAGTATGAGAACGCGTTCATCATTTTGTTGATGACTGTGTAATTTGGTCACGTTTGTGCTTCGGAAAACACACCTGGCCAACTGTTTATGGTGCGACGATATTCACCCAATTTTAAACTCACAGGATTACGATTCTTTACTGCGATCAGGACACTGCTGCACCCGACCGTATTAGCTAGGCACATACTCTCAGTTAAATGTGTTTGTTCAATAGCTGTAGATAACTATGTGTTGTCTTACAAGCAGACTGTCATTTGAAACTAATTGGAGCTTTCATGAGACGTGTGGTTCACATCTTTTTTATGCCATGTGCTGATTTTGGCGCCAGCCTGTGAGTAAAACTATGTGGTAAATGAATTTTCCTCCAGCCACTTGAAATAAGCACTGTTTATGTACACAAATGTGAATTGGAGCCATCTGTCGATTCCAACAAGATTAACTCAGGAAATCAACTATCTGGTTAGTGGAGACTCACTTTTGCCAAAAGTATATTCCCTCCCCGTGTCTCCGAGGAATATTGACATTACGGTCCTTTGCAGATAGCCATCAATTGAACGTCGCAGAAATCTTTCAGTAAATGGTTAATTTTATGATAGCTATCTACGGAGCACTGTTATCTGTCTTATAACGGTAAAATGCCCCGCAAATCCCCAATTAACACAACTGAAAGATTCACTGGCTCAACGCAGCACTTACTGTGTACGCATACACGTCCCGTTTTGAACCTGACTACTTCGTCTGATAGAGAGAGGTAGCAGCAGAGGAGAACACAAATTAGCGTTATTCGCCGCGAATTCCGCGCGATAAGATTATCGATAAAGTAGCACTTGTGTTTTGCTTTACTCGATTCCATCCGCCAATCAAATACCTCTCAATGTTTGCTTCCCCTTTTTGTCCTTTCCACACTAGGCTCATACTGTCAGAGCATCGCTTGGCAAGACTGTATTTTGGCACCAAACTCGGCATGTACTCACCGGTCTGACTTGAACCAGCCACCACCTTGAAGAGACCTGCTGGTCAGTCGCACGCAACCAATGCATTAAACGCCTAGTTGCAATACCTTACCCTCGGTTTTATATCAACTTGATGTATATATATGTGTGTTAATACAGTCGAAGTGTATACACTTGCTTTTAGTTATCTATGTAACTATTTGAATTTTTTGAGAATCAGTTGCGCACTTCTGTGTCCTTGATAAGCTAGTCACCAATCTCTAGTCTGAAAATGAAAACAAGATGTCGTAGGGAAACTGTCGAGTTATTAGACATCGAACATGACCACCAATCCAGATTTCATGTCACCCCATCCACGCTTCGTGTAATCTCTTCATTCCTCTCAAAATATTGTTATCGGTAAAAGCAAGTAACATTTCCACTCTATAGCCCAAATTCCATTTATTTCGTGTGTTCTCAGTCACATACTTTGCATCGTTAGTAGAATGCGTAATTAAGTGGAAACGATTAACAAATTACCAAACCATACAGTCGTCACCACGCAACCGATTTCTTCCGATGGCACAGCTAGGTTTGCGTTGAAACAGAGACAAGGAGCATCAGTCGCAGATGAGACGGGAACCTCATGAAGTGGAAATGCGTTGGTAACAATGAGTGTTTCGGTGTCCAGTTTTGAAAAAGTGGACATATTTGGTATGTTCATTCGTAGATTCCGCGGAATATGCTCCCAAATCCGTTTGGATAGTCCTACCTTAGTTCTGTCAAAGTGCACACCACCGCAGGTATATTTGTACTAGTAACCGCCCAAGGTGGTAACTATGCAGTGTGATCTAGGCGAGTAAAGTTTAAGTTTGATCCCGCAGCACCAAATCTGTCTCGAAAGTGCACCTCTTCAGTGACTCGCTTTATCGGTTGACCGTGGCTTAGCCCAGCATGTCCATGTCACAGCGTGGTCGTTCCTCACTCAAATTTGTCAGCAAATTCATTCAATTGGTTGCGAATGTTTCAGAGGCAAGGGGTTGCCATAGGCCTAAAACCGTTTTTCATAAGAACCCGAAAAATGGATCAACTAGGTAGCCCAACGTAACTACTGCACTCAACTGCAGAGATGACAAGGCAGCACAGCAGAGCAGCGCCAACCACAAACTGCTGTGCAAGTATGTCAATGGCTTTCGTAAGGTGGGGCAGGGAATTCCTCCACTTCGGACGGCTGATGATCCCATAAGAAGGGCTATAAAGCTGCAAATGCACTTCGGACGCAATATGCTTCCACATTATAGGGTTTTACCACCAGGGGACCTTCTAGCTTAAGTTTTCCCGTCTCCAGGACTCACCTACATCTCTTTCACTGCTGAAACTATATTGCAGAACCTGATGATTCCGCGCAATCACAGCTCCACGCCCAGAGTCACAGAGAGCGGCAGCAAGAAACTTTGGCTCAGTTCTTCCAGCGATGCTTAGTCCAGAACCAGGTTCATGCCATGTTTGAAATAACTCCGACTCACAAAGGCGGAAGAAAGACTAAATCTTCAAACTACCGCCCAGTATCTCTTCTTCCTGTACTATCCATGTTCAAGAATCCACCGTCGCCGATGGGCTGGTGTGTTATCCGGAAATTAGTAACGTTATTGTTCCCGAGCAACTCGGCTACTGTTAATATCGATCATGCACGCACGGAGTAGTTAGACCGAGTCAGCTGACGCTAGAGGACATTGACGTGATCTACTTGGATATGATGAAGGTATTCCATCGTTTAGATAATCGGATTCTCCTTTCCAAGCTCCAATATTACGGCATCGGTAATCTTACCTTGAGCTGGATTGCCAAATTTTTCCTTCAACGACAATTAGTGGTCAGAGTCAGGAGCTCCTTATCCCATCCCAAACAAGTCGAGTGTGGTGTATCTCAGGGCTCAATTCTAGGGCCACCATTGTTTCGGGTATTTATAATGATCTTGTACGGAAAATCGCTTCAGATTTCTTACTGTTTGCTGATTACATCAAAATATGGCGCAGAATTCAGGCGGATGCCGATCTTAATTTACTTCAGTTGACCTAGATATGGTCAGCCCGAAATCTGCTGCAGTTTGACGTGACCAAATGTAACGTACTTTCCATACGACACCAGAGTACCTACTCATACATGCTAGGAACGCAGATACTGCAGCGCTCATCCGTCGAACGCGACGTGGGCGTGCTGGTTCAGGATAACTTGGGCAATCCGCAAAGGCATCGAAAAATGGTAACCAACACGTCGGTCTTTTGCGGCGGGCGTTCGGGCAAATAGCACCTGTTTTCCGGCAGATCCTCTTTACGTATGTTCGCCCTCGTGTCGAAGACACAATTCAAGCCTGGAACACGAACCCACTGCACTGGACCAACCTCGGCGTCAGGCTCAAATGCTATGTACTACAATTCAAGAGTAACACCAACTTATGAGATTACTCCTTGAAACTAGCAGAACAGTACAGCAGTGCCGTAGAAACTTCTTTTCGATTCGTGTGCCACCCGTGGAGCGCTTCCCCCGAATTGATCGTTTCTTCATCTGCATATTTTAAAAGTCGGTTAGACGACGCAATCAACCACTTAGATATTTATTAGTAAGCCCTGCCTCTTCCGGAAAATACTTTGAATTTCATATTTGCCACCTGTTGGATCTGTGAAACTACGCGGTGTGTGAAGCTACTGCAGGCCCGCGACTGTCAACCATGGCGAAGCGGCACAAACTGCTGGCATCCGGAAGTCATGGAGTCGGAACGCGACAGGGGGGTCCGCTGGGTGCATTACTGACGAAATACCAGTGTTTGGTGCTTTTCCTGACTAGCCAAAGTCTGCTGACGGAGAATAGACCGTGATGAATTATCTCTAAAACGATAGGTCTATTCTTTTAGCAGGAACAGTACTAACTGCATCTTTTCGATGGCCAACCACACGACCCAACAAGGTTTCTAAAGCAGTGTTTCTTAACCCGTATAAAGTCATTGTTCGGTTGAAAGTATGAAAAAGAATTGGATAGCAGTGTGTTGGCGTTTGACTTTTAACGAGTAAACATGTGTATTCGATCTCAGGTTTACTGCAGGTATTCAGTGATGATATTTTCACCGTATCCACATTAAATTTATCGGCAATGTTGAATGCAATGGCATTTTCAATCACGTACACAATATGCGATGGATGGAATAAGCTGTCCGCTTATTTTCACTCGGGTTTGATCAAGTTTATCCGACGGGTTGCTAATATATTCTAAGGAAACCAGATGATCCTTAAGAATTTCGACGCATTCCAAAGTTCGTTTCAGTTTAGGCTGTTGGAGTATAAGGGAACTAACCTTATCATTTAGCCGGGCAATGAGACCGCTACTTGTTGTGATCTTTGCGTTTTATGTTTTAATGGCGCTGCTTGTAGAGTGGACATACAATTTTTCGCCAATGGAATCGCAGCCACCGTGGACTGTAACGTTGTTTTTGTTCATACTTGTAGTGTTCACGAACAGGTTCTCCAAAATAACGGGATTATGACAACAATAAGAAGTAGCGAGTAAAGATATGGATATGCGGTAAGAGTGAAGTCGTACAGAGAACTAAATGGCTCAGAACCAACCAGGAAAATACAGAGTAAGAGGGTATAAATTGATCACCCTCGATTTTACAGTTCAGGATGTTCGAGTTCCGCGCGCTGTTGATAACTTCGATCAAACCACCCAGTTGCACTGCGTGCTGTACGGTCGAGAAATACGTGATTTGTTTGTTCGACAGTATTCCTCCATTAGATGACGCAGCACAACAAGTACGAAAAAGGACACACTCCAAAAATTCAAAACCGAGAAATCACAGTTAAACGATCAACCAGTGCGTCCCTTCGGCCCAGTTGCCGACAGGAGAGCACTAATACGATACATGAGAGGATGAGCCTTTAAGATGTACACTAGTGACAACGAAGATGAAAGAGTAATGACACACAGGCGGGTTGCACTTGGAACGAGGTTGACCGTACAAGGTGTATTAGAAGACACACGGTCAAAATGTGGATTTGAACACCACATGAAAAATACAGAGGTACACAAGCGAAGCGACCAGTGAGGGAATAATATATGTGTGCAACACGGATGAGTCGAGGAAGTGAAACACTGCAACGATGAAGAGGTCAGACCGGAGATGAAAGCGGAATGGCGAAAAAGCATAGCCGCCTTGAAGACGCCTCTGATTAATCGATTTTGATCGCAGAGTAGATGTACCGTAAGAAAGCGAATGTGGCCGTGAACCCAATCGTTCCGGTGAGAATCCAAAATGTCAGAACCATCAGGGTGGTGTAGCCAAAGTAGACAACCGTTGGTATGAATTGTGTGATGTCCAACTGTAAGATGATAAGACAGCACGAGATGGAATTTTGAATAGGAAAATCATTTCAAGGTAGCTGACTTGGAATCTGAGTGTGCTGATGTAAAAGATTTCAAGTGAGGATAACGAGGAAATGCACTCACCTTCGTCCAGTAGTAGAATACAGAGTAAATGAACAGATACAGTGCCGGCCCACCCGAAGCAATGAATGTACGCCACCACCAGCGATAGTCCTAAACAAAGAGAGGAGTTGATGGGACGTTTTGAAGAAGGCATCCATTTTGACTAGCCAATGAGGAAAATTAATCTCGAATAATGGAAATATAGCATGCAAGCGAAACACACCAGGTACAGTCGATTCGACTAGTTCAAATAAGGCATCTTACACGTGCTAGGTCTAGATAAGTAAATTTTTCCAATGGTGACTGTGTCCTTACAGTCACGTCAACGTAACATAGTCAACCATGGATTTTCCAAAAAAGCTTTTGCACCTACTGCGGATAGTGCTCCCCAATGTTGAACTGAATACACATCCAGGTGCAATGAATGAGGTGGCCTCAACTCGGCACATCGTCAATACAACGGTGGCCATACGTCAAGAGTAATTGACAGAAATCACCATCATACACCTCAGCAACTGTGACAGAAATTAAAATCTCCTGTTAGTATAGTCCGGAGTAACAAAAAAGGCAATGTACGCAATGACGGAACTTAACTTACGATACTGTGGAGGATAATCCACAGCGCCGTATGTGCTGCATCGAGTAAGTTGGATAGAGATGAGGATGCCTTTTCGTCCCCTCATAGCACCTCACACGCTTTTCCACCCGGCTCACAGAGGATGAGACCACGAACTGTATAACAGAAGCTTGACGTGGTTTCGCCAATATTCACCGTTTGGGGCGAAATCAATGGCTTTGAAGAACAGAGTTTATTATGCATCTGTCCAGCTAACTTTTATGTACAACTGTGAAATCTGACTCATCAAATCGACAGATGTGAAGAGGTTTGTTACCTTCAACCACGGCTGTCTTCGCACTTGGGTTCACATCTGGTGGTAACACCGCGTGAACTATGGGCGTCTAGGCTGTGCCGCAGGAGGATATTAACCTTTCAGCACCATCATTTTCCGCGCCTGGCTTCGAGGACTGATCCTTGTAGTAGGCATGGCAACACACCGACTCCCACGATATGTGGTATTTGTGCGATCAGGGTGTGAAGGGAAAGCCAATCGAGAAACTGGTCAAGTGCAGTGAAAACTCTCAATGGGGCTGTTGCGATCCTATGGCCACTAACGAAATTCGGAACGAACACGCAAGAAAACAGAACACCCACGACTAGATCGCGGCACAGAATACGAATGCAACACAAATCCATTACCAGTAATAATAACAATAATAATGATAATAATAATAAATAATGTGTCAGCTATACGCCGTAACGGCGTTTCGCTGCCGTGCGACCACCACCAGTCGCACGCAGGCTGAGTATACCGCGAGGACGCCCACCCCTACGCGGATTCTAACCCGCGCCACAAGCTTACAAGCTCGTTACCTCTAGGCTACGAGCCGACTCCGTCATCAGTCTATAGTCCCAACTCCGGAAGCAAAGAAGACAAGATCTCGGACACGAGACCCATTAGCACGCCAACACAGGAAGTCACAGAAACTCGTAGGCTGGTTCAGGTCGTTCAACGGCCTTGCCAAATCAGCTAATCACAGTGCTCATTCGAAGCGGGACGGATAGCGTATACGGATTAAAAATCAAAAAAGGTAGGCAAAAAAGTCCATGGTTTTGGCTGGTTCCAGTGTAGTTCATGGTATATAGCCTTTCCCAACAGCGGCCTTCAGACTTCCTAGAGGGGTCTAAAGGACGATAAACAGGTTTTGATAGACAACCATTTGCTATGACCAAGAACCAATCTTAGTGGAGTCTTGATTGTGAGTTTCCTTATCCTGCCTCATTCTGCACAGTCTATACCTCAAACTATTAATTCGATATCAATGTATACTATGAAATAAAACATGGGTGCCACACTCCTCGAAAGCACTGCAGCCCACGACTACTTTCGAGCTCGTTTGCCCTCAAGCATCGAATAAGGCGTCATTTGTATGTTAGGACTTCTATCAATAAAGCCAGTGCGGCACAGCGAGAAACGTTTACTGACTGATTGGAGGGTCAATATGAAGTACAATTATTGCGTGAATGCACTGTGACGCGCAATCTCAATGTGGACCGCAATTCGCATCCAAATGTAACATCTTTATTTTGTTTTGATGTTTTCTTTTATTTTTGTGGCCACTGAACTGAATTCCGTTGTGGTTCAGTTGAACAACTATGATCCGAGCAACGAACAGCAGTGCATCTAGTTTTCACGATTCGCATCGCAAAAGTAACAACAAATTGAGGCGTATGCAATGCGAGAGACCACCCATGCATTTGCGAATGACTCCAAAGAGACATGCGCACTTTGTCACAAGCCACAGATCAAGGTTACATTCACTAACAGTGTGAAGTGACTGCCCCTAAAGGATGATCCTAACTTTTGGGATTACAGCAGAAACTTTATTCAGGTCTAGCAACAGAGAGACTCACTCGAATCGTGGACATGCGAAGTGAGTTCAGTATAGTACGGTTGAACAACTGTGGTCCGATCACCGAAGTGCGGTGGATCCAGTTGCTACGACTCATATCGCAAGAAGAACAATAAGTAACAACAGTCAGGTAGTGATCCTCCTTGTGACCCAGTTCGTTGCATTTCTGACAAAGATGCTTATTGAACGGGCAGAATATGACGAAGTGCCATTCGCCACATTGCCAGCATGCGGATGATGGTCTGTTTGACTTCACTGAGTTCTGGACCGTCGCTGGACTCCCGCGCCGGTTTGATACCGCCAACTTATCCACGGGACATGGACTGTGGCATTGGGCTAACATGTTCGGAAATGATGAACATGAAGTTGACGGACGGGTCCTGCTCAGTTTTGTTAAGCAGCCTCATGCATATTTCGGCTTCCTCTCGCGTTTGGAGACCACAAACGAAAATTAAGGCCTTGAACTGATCGTCTGTCATTCATTTAGCCTGAAATGCTCGCAATGACGATTGACGGTATTCGCGTAAATTACGAAATCATCTGACGCGCACTGAACGAGTTTCATGCAGCTGTATCTTACGCTGAGTAAGGAAGACTGTTCACCAAAAATGTCATATAACAGAGGCACAAGTTGGTCAAAGGTAAAATCTCTGAGGCATTTTCGCAAAAGCAGTCTGCGCTTCTATCCATCATCAGCATCAGTGGATTCGGACCGGAAAACGTCTTCGTATCTTTTGAACCAAGATTCGAAGGTTAGGTCGGCATCCGGTAATGCTGAAACTCACAAATGCTGTTCGCGACCGCATCCGCTGGTGGTTGCTGCTTTTCATTGTTTGGTCTTTCTTGAACCGCAAAATGCTAATAGATATTCTCGAGCAATTGTGTCTGGCTTTCTTCAACTTGCTTCTGTTGATGCTGGTATTGCGGTAAGCTGCTCCACTGAAAACGACATATTTCCGTCGTATCCAATCAAACTGCCACCTCTGTCGCCAGTTGTTGTGGTCACCAAGGTCGCCTCGGTCGCTCCGATTGGCTGTTCGCTGAAACCTGCCCGCCCCAATTGGCCGATCACAAAGGCAAGGTCGTAGACACAGTGTGAGAGCCACCAGACAAAGGATGGTTACAGAGCGCAGAGTACCGATATTTATTTGTTCATAGCAACCTTCCTGAACGTTCTCTGTTCTCTCCTTTACTTAACAATAATAGTATTAGATTGTGCGAGAAAATTTTATTGACCAATGCGATTATCTCGCCCGATTTCTGGAAAAGGGTTGGACTTTGATCCTCATTGGGTTCACTGATTTGGTCGTTAGAAGATGCCCCTCCTAACAGGGTTGAATGCAAATAGAATGTAGAGGAAACGAAAGCAAGGAGGAAATGTGTCAGGCTAATCAGAATGGGGGGGATTGAAAACCAGGTGCAAGAAACCGAAAGCAGGAAAGCCACTGATTGCGCCATTTCCGATGCGGTCTCCAATCATTGATGTTGACCATCCCGAGACCCCATACACGCACTAACCTGACCAGGTCTCTCAGCCAGTTTCCTCAAGTTTCTTTGCGACGTCATGGACTGGTCACCTCGCGGTTTCGCCAAACATGGTGCGGCCACTGCGTATAAAGCACGCCGAGGAAATCGGTCAACGTGCATACAGAGGACATGAAATAACCAACGTAAGCGACTAAAATTCCGTAAACACAAGTGAAGCACCAGAAGGCCTCTTGCCAAAAACCAAACGAGGAACTTCCGCATTGTTCACCCGGTACTTCCACCAAATGTGAGCAATAATTCGCAAGCACCGATGCTCAAACACGGCAAAGCGTTTAATGTCTTCATTGCGAACTGACCATGTCTCTTATCCGTAGAGAAAGACAGGCATTATCGCAGTACTATACACCCTACCTTTCAATGACAGGCTGATATCCCGCAGTCAGCATAGATAGTTCAGCCTATGGAAAACAACACAGGCCTTGCTGATACGTGAAGTAACTTCCTCAGTTATGTGACCACCAGTGGTGACACAGCTACCAAGATAAGTGAACCGATCCATCACTTCCAGTGACTGTTCGATGACAAGTAGAACCGGAGGCGTGTCGGCCCAGTACTTTGCATTTTGGAGGCGCAAAGCACATGCCGAAGCATGCAGCGCTACGCACAAGTCTGTACAGCAATGTTTGCATAGCCACCGCGTCAGATCCAGGAAGAGTTATCTCGTCCGCACACTCCAGGTTTGTCAGCCTGTCACCTAGCAGAACTTCCACTCCAGAATAGTCTGAAAGAATCAAGTCGTTCATGATCATTTCGATTACATAATTGAAGAGGAAAGGAGATATAGAACAACACTGGCGAATCTCACTTGTCGTGAAGAACCCAGGAGACAGTTTCTCGTAGACCCTTACACGGCCTCGGGAATCACGGTAGAGGGTCTTCAGAATGGAAAGAAGTTTAGATGGCACGACATTCATGGATAGGCAGTGCCACAAGCTGGCGCGGTCAAAGGTGGCTTTCAAGTCAAGGTGAGACATCATAGTCGATCGTCTGCATGTGTCTGCCATAATACTTGGGGAAGAGTAAATATGTGGTCGATGCAACCACGACCAGGGCGGAAGCCAGCCTGGCTTTCAGTGATTCGAACCTTATGGGGACCAGTTAGCCGTCGTAAAATAATACCCGTGAGAAGTTTTGAGGCAATGGAAAAAAGGCTAGTGCCTCGATGATTTTCGCACAGAGTATGCCGCTTCTACTTGAAGACGAGCACGACAGTTGATAGTCGCCAGTCTTCTCACTGTTCCAAATCGTGTTAGGAGAAGCGAGCCCAGTCAATAAAACCTCCTCCATTTTTCAGCAAAGATGGACGAAGGTCGTCATGTCCAGGAGCCTTGTATTGTTTCAATATGGAAACGTATCGAATCTCTTCCAAAATGGGTCGTGTGACATCTGCTTCCCACGTCGGCTCAGGTGATACGACAAGCGGCAGTGTCGCAGCAGCTGGATGAACTGGTCTACAAAAATTTCCGTCCAACGCGCTAGTCGATGACGCTGAGAACTGATCAACTGCCCATCATTCTCAGCTATTATCTCGCTAGCTGATGGGCTTTTTTCTCATACGTTTTCCGGATGAGCTGGAATAGCGCTGGCTTTCTATATTTTACGGGCCCTTGTCATCCACCAACATTCCCGCTCGATTCGAAGACTCTTTGTCAGACTTCGTTTCAGGGAGTTACGTATACGCTGAAACGCAGTGCTCAACGGAACGTGTTTACGCGATTCGATCAAAGTGCCTCGGAGATCCATACAAAGTTACGACGTCTCAAGTTGGATGTACAGCAGGCGTCAAAAGCATTACTCACAGCACATTGTATTGCGGTACAATAGCTGGGGTGTTTCTTATCCCTAGCTACTTCATAGAATGAATGAATGATAAAAGGCCAAATTAACGATTCCACCGTAGTTGTCGTGCCATACCGCGGTGTCGTAAATCTTTCTCTGAACCAATAAGCGAATATCTCCCACAGTTCCTTAGGTGGCTGAAGTTTTGAATAGACCGTTTTCTCTTTGTCGATCGGCGGGCGACAGCAATCGACGACATATATACTGTATTTGAACTTCGGCTGAGAAAATGTAAAACACAGACCAACCATTTCTTCAATGGGAGAGAAACAATAGCGCCATCGCATCCGAGGCTGCGACATGTTGGTGTACATAATCACCGTTGTGGGTCATTCCTCAATCCATTACTTCATCTCTTCGCCACGACATCATCATATACATGTCAAAGACTAAACGAACTGGGGGACCAGGTCAGTTGATACATGATCGCCTAGCTAATGCATGTGAATCGCGTTCATCGAATGTTCTAATGCGGTGCCAGTGTCTCGGCAGCGGGAAGACGTACATATGCTTTGAAGGACAAATCAATAGCAGGATCAATGTGTTGGAGTCGAAAGAAGCCACAAATGTAAATGGCGACAAGAGCAGGTCACATTGACATGGGGCTCAGGAATGTGGCACCAGAGATGGATGGGGTCAAGTTTATGCTAACCCCGTGGTTAGAATTTCGGTGATCAGAAACACATATAGACGGAGACGCCACTAGAATCGACAAACAAAGTTAGCGAAACAGTCATAAGAATTCAGATCTTACCTGACTTTATGCGACTTGGTATAGTCGAAATGCACTATGCAATATCGTTCAACATAGAAAGGAGGCGAGCAAGTGGCCGGCAAAGTAATAATAAATAATGTATTAGCTGTACACCATGACGGCGTTTTGTTGCCGTGCGACCACCACCAGTCGCAGGCGGGCTGAGTATATCACGAGGACGCCCACCCCTAAACGGTTTCGAACCTGCGCCGTAGGATTACGAGACAAGCTCGTTACCTCTAGGCTACGGGCCGACAGCAAAGGAAAACGAGTGACTCACTTCGTTGCATAACTGAAAGTAGGTCATCACCATGGCAACTTGCGCGCAGCAGATGATGAGGATGATGAACACAGCGAACAAGAACCCGAACAGGTAGTAAAATCGGCTCTCCCACAGTGCCTGAAAAAGGAAGAGGAGAGAGTGAAGAGTTGAACCGGTAAACATGAACAACTCAAAACGGTCTCAATGTACAACCGGAGATAAAAGCAGGAAAGGAGAAAAGAATGCCTCAGACAACTCAGTGAACGTGATTCATCTTGGTAATCAACGACAGAGGTGTATTGGCCTCGTGGCAATTTCTTTGTGAGTTTCATCGCAACAGTATTCTGTCAGGTAGCCACCACCCACATCCGAGAAGTCATTAGGCGGCCACGTCGACTTATTATGATCACCAGCGACAGAGCACATCCGCCGATGACCTTGCGAGGCAGTGACATAAGGCACTGAGCAGCGGGTACCGACGGCGGGCAATCACAATCGTTAAAGGGTTGAACAGTGCCAGTTTCATAAGGCAGTGAATGGATCGCTGCTGTCAGTTTGATAAAAGTGTTGAATTGTCACTGAGCTATCAAAAAACATACGCCAGTGAAACTATGTTGAATGTATGTGAAAAGTTGGCAGTATGACATGCTATCCGATATTTATGATTGGCGGCATCCGATTTCGGAGATGCCTGTCACTGCGACCTCCATGGAGACGTCAACAGGACGCATGCGCCTATTAAAGTACCGTAGCTGGTATGCGCTACAGCACCCATGGATATTAACCAACAATGAAGGAAAACGATAGTAAAAAGTGCAGAATAACCAGGGAATAATCAAAGAATAAGCACAACAGAGTGAATGTAAATTAGTGGGTTAAGGCAGATCTAGTGTACTGCAGGAAACGTGTAAGCTCATGCAAACATTATATATAAATATAAATATATAAATATATATATATATATATATATATATATATATATATAGGGCTGTAATGGAATGTGAAAAGGTTTGTTCAAGAAAGTAAAACTGCTTAAAGATCTACTCTACGCTAGAATACACACTTCCATCTTTTGAGGAGTTGTCTTACTAGTTACCCGATTTGGGGACAGAAATTCCTCGCCCCTAACCGCAAACACAGGTGTTCTTTAGGGAGCTATTCTGTCACAATTTCTCTTTTCCAGCTATGTATGCCCAATACCAGTCCCAGGACAGGCAACCCTGCTGTAATACGCAGATGACATTGTCCTGGGCGTCAATCAATCGCTGACTGCCTCTTCAGTCAGATTATCATTATTATCATTATACACGACAGCTAGAGATGGGAAACACCTCAGCTACTGTGCCACAATACATTAAGGAAAAAGGAAAATAAATACAAAATTTGCATGCCAGCTGAGCTACCAGCAACGGATAGGCATCGTTTCGGTAAGCTACCAGCCGGCTACTAGGCAAAAAGAAAAATTATTATGTTTCACACTATGAAATGAGATCGTAGGTGAAGGGAGAGGCTAAAAGGGATGGGGAGGGACAAAGAAACTCACAGTAGGAAAACCACTGAAGTCGGCTCCTTGCCATGTCAGCAAGTGTATCCAGCCAAACGTGTTCACCGTCTTTTAGACCCCAACCAGGGAGCCGTGACGCCCCAACCGAGGCCAGCACAGAAGTGAGGGCCTTCATTCCTCTGGACCAAGTCATGGCTTGGCCGCCCCTCTTTTTCCATCCACATCCCCGGTGAGCAAACAACGCACGTCGTGGAAGTCGATGGGCCGGCATGCGCAACATGTGGCCCAGCCATCGGAGCCTGGTGCGTGAAATAACGGTGTTGAGCGGTTCAGATCCTTTTTCTTTGCCGTCTGTCTTCAGTCAGATTGCTTATCTTTTGGTCAAAGATCGCGAGCCGCCGCTCAATATGTCAGTGCAATGCTGTCATTTTTTCACTGCACAGGGAAGATCGATATCAACAGCTTCTCCAGCAATACCCGGGACTCAACATCAATGGCGAGAGGTGGTAAAGTATTTGGGTGTTATGCTAAGTTACGATTAGTCTTGGTCACACTATATAAAAGAAACGTTCACAATAACCCGGAGATTTCAGTAACTGGAAAATTCCCATTTAATCATCAAGAACAAGGGACCGAAGGTAAACAATTGTTTGCGATGAATTCATCGTTATACTTCTCATGTCTGCGAGCTTTCTGTCCCCCATGATTTGATTCTTCGCTTTGTCAATGCTTGTGTTCTGCCACACTGGAACTACTGCTCACCAGTAATTTTTCCTGATCTATTGGACAAGGGCTTTAGATTAATCTCCAGGTCATTAAAACAACTGTCGCGATACAGTGGTGTATCGAAACTGACGTTCGTTGATATACTTGTATCCACTTATGTTGGTTCTTGCAAGAGACTAGCATCAACAGTACTTGCCGGCACAAGTCACCTTCTCCAATGTGCATTGTCTGAATGTGTCCACCGCTTCAACCAGACAGAAGTACAAATCCATATATGTAGGTACACGGGCATACCATTCGTCAATAAACCCCCTAGACCATAATAGAGATACCCAAGAAGTAGTAAATCGGTTTATCCTAGGATGGTGTCATTCTTTTTGAATCATTTATCCAATGTTTTGAATTTAATGCTGTATCGCTGTACGTATGTGCTACGGCTGAATATTTATCCCTTCTGGGTGCATAAAGCACTTACTTGACTTGACAAGCCGTTTCGAATATTTTTGTTTTGCGCATAAAATTGAAATGTGGATGAAAAAGACATGTTAGAACAGCACTGACGTCACTGATTTAGACTGTGAGCCATAGCCTCCAAAGCTTCCAACCATTTGGAGTCCCCATCACGTGGTCCCCAACCTGGAAGACAGACAGATCCTGTTGATGCCAAACATGAAGTGACATTGTTAATGTTAATCTACAATATCATCGATTGTCCACCTCGACATTTGTTTCCTTCACACCCAAAATTTGCAAATAATGCTCAGCAAGGAAGTCGGTTGGCTGGCATGCGCAATACGTGATCGAACCAACGTAGTCGGTGTCTAGGATTAACGTCCTTGAGGCTGGAATTGTTCACTCCGAGTACTCGGCTTCTGAGTTGCTTAAATGGTGTTTCCACCGCACACGAGCGATCGTTCGCAAGCAACGATTGTCAAAAGATGATAGTCGTTTCAGGTCATCCGCGCGAACAAAGGCATCAGCAGTAGCTCAGTTCGCAGTATGGCGCTTCGATGCTGCGCAACCACCACCAGTCGCACGCGGCAGAGGGTTGCCTGGTCCCTACGCGCACCCACGGATTACAAGGCAGGCTTGTGATCCTTAAAGTTATGGGCTGCGCGAAAAGGCCAGTTCTCGCAGCCGTACAACAGGACCGCACGGACAGTGGCACTGTGCGCACTGCCTATGAGCTTTATACTGGTGTCGCGGCTGCGCCGCAAATGTCTCAGGTTTGTTAATGCTAGGTGGGATTTAGCGATTTGCTGAGAGACTTCATCTCCCATGCCGCCACCAACCGTGATACAATTACCGAAATAAATGAAGCGAGTAACTTGCTCCAGGCAATCACCAACAATTGTGGAGGTATGGTGCACTACCAATGAGTAGTATAATGAGACGAGCAGGCGCGATGAACTCAGCGAATAGTGGACGGGCGCGTAGTGCACAATTCAACTAGCCCTGCAAATGGTTGGCACTGGAGCGCTGAACTTATACCGTGCCGTCACGGCAGGCGAAGTCGATAGCACACGAATCAAATGGCACCACGAATGATGTGCGCAAATGAGTCTGACTGTTCTATGCTATAAATGTTATACAATGTGTACGTTCATCCTCCAATATACCACTCGTTCGCATTGCGTCGCCATTTCCACAAGGGTAAACACCGGCACTTGCCAACTTTGATGTGCTTCACATTCAGGTGGGGCAAGACACAAACTTGCCCTACATGCGTGACGCGCGTGCTCCTGGATCATTCGGATTATTCCTCTCTATCCATCTTTCTCTCTCTCTCCATTTTCTCGTAGCATAGTCATCGTCCGCTCATTCGAACCGGATTTATCAGCCCTACACAGTGATCCATCATACGTGGAATTATCTTCTACGATTAAAGTCCTTACCATCACTGACCATTTTAACTGTCTTCAGTAATTAAGTGCAAGCGGATAACTCAATCACATCGAGCCGAGTGCCCTTCTGTGTGACAGCATTCGATACAGAATTCTCTAAGAAGTCCGAAAAGCCTAAGCGTATTCCAATCCGGTATTTCTCAACGTAGCTATGAAGGAATTTGTGATCTCTCAATCAGTGTTCAGCACTATGTTCGGATTCAGTTAGCAGATTACAATCAATCGCCATTCCTTGTGATCTTGTCAGCCAGTGCGCCTGCATAACGAATCACACGGACCGCGCGACCACGCCGACCGCTCATTTGACCACAACGCTCGCCTGACGGAGGTGCGCGGCTATCAAAGCTCGAAAAGTACAGAACGTCAACCAACCCACTGGGTCAGGTGAAGACATCACGTTGAATTGTAGAAATGCGAATCCGAAAAATCTCCAAACAATAGGCATTTGCAGGTTAGGAGAATGTCATCGATTAGTTAAAATAGGTTTGGCTTGTTCGCACTGTTTAGAATGTGCAAACGTGTCCCAACAACAGGTACGAAAGCGAAATAGCTAACAAGATGTGCTTTGGTTCTGTACTGCGTACTCAACCATCAACTCGTTAAGTGCTTGCTTATCCTAGTTTAGAAGTGCGACCGGTTAACTGCAGAAGCCAAGTAGCAGATGAACGATAAGTGAGTGTGCACCAGGGAAGCGTATTGGCCTGCAAGCAACGAAATGCTGCACAATTTGTTTCGCCTGAACAGCAATCAGTCACGTCTCCAGCTCCGTTGTCTTCTCTAACTTTGGTAGAACGCCGGGTGAAACCTAACCGTAGATACGAGAGTCAAACACTACTCATGGAAACGAAAATCAGGTACCACTTGAAACGTCTGGTTATGAAAATTCCATTAGACCTGACATCTATCATTAACAAGGATGAAGCAGCCGAACACCAACCCTTGGTAGCAGTCTCTTGTCGAGACAAAGCCCCTCGGGAGATCAGTTACATATGCAGAGATTGCTACGAAAGTCAACCGGAAGGCCGCCGTTGCGGTCTCTTCAGTTGTAA